AATTATAATGAAATTTTAGGATATTTGAAAATGTTTAATTATATGAATAGAATTTTGTTTTAGGCTTACATTTTTAGAATGTAACATATAGATATAACATAGCAGTCATGAAATGGCTGATGAGCTTGCTCAGAGGAGTAATAGTCTTCCGATGTGCAGATTGAGAAGTCTGTTAGAACACCTTACATTGGCAAAATCCGCTTGATCTGCTACAGAATGCCAGGTATTTGATGGTTTGAGGAACTTATGTCAACCTCAAAATGCATCTGTTCCGAGAAGAAAAGCATCACAATAGCTCTGTCTGTTTACTCGATATTTGGTAACAATTGTTACCAAATGTTACTAAATGTTGTCTGTTTACCCAAAAATGCAGTAAAAGAGAGTCAAGTGAGAGAGCAAGTCTGACAGTTCAACAACTACAAATTTACTGGAGTTTACTGAAAGAATTTTATTCAGTAAGATTTTGCATACTCAGCCATTTTATGACCAAACACAAACATTAAGTGTGTCTGGTTACTTTTCCAGTAACATTTATTCAGTAAGTTCTAGTTCAGAGAGTAAGCTTTTCTTACTCTCTTTTGCGATAATACCGAAAAAAGTAAACAGACAACATTTAGTAAGATTTAGCAAATAAACAGCTGATTCAAGAAAACATTTGATTTGCGCCAAAATAAACAACAAAAAAAGGACGAACACAATTATTTGTATAGCATTTAATATTAAAAATAAAATGAATAATAAAAGAAAAATTGATCTGTTATGTTCCCCGGGAACATTTAAGCTCCCTGCATCAATATATTGCCCTCAATCTGGAACTTGCCTAAAAATATATAAGGAATTAGTTTGTAATTTAATGAAACTTTGCATTACTTACGAATTTTCTTCCATTTTCTGTAATTAACTTCAAATTGAACTTTGCAAATTAAAAAAAAAAAAAATTTAAATAATTTTTGTGTTTGGTCAGAAAACAGCTGATGAGAAAATAGCTGAGTTGCAAAATCTTACTGAATAAAATTCTTTCAGTAAACTCCAGCAACTTTGTTGTTGTTCAACTGTCAAACTTGCTCTCTCACTTGACTCTCTTTTACTGGATTTTTGTGTAAACAGACAACATTTGGTAAGCGTGGTTTTATATTTGTCGGGATCGGTATCGGTGTTGAGAGTTTCTCTCTCTCTCAGTGGTAAATTGTGAATTGTGTTGGAAAACATTACCACAGGTAGGAACAAAAAAGTACGAAAAGGTACCTGAAATTCTACTTCAAATGATAATAAATTATAATTATCGAGAAATATTGGCCAATATTTATACCAGTTATTTGCATAAATAACATATGTTATAATTTAAGCGTGAATGTATTCAAGAATAATAAAAAATCGAATTTTTGTTTTGGTACGTTTATGTCAATTCGTACAAGCGTACTTTTTGTTCACAAAAGGTACGAATTGACATAAACGTACCAAAACAAAAATTATATTTTTTATTATTCGTGGATACATTTACGCTTAAATTATAACATATATTATTTATGCAAACAACTGGTATAAATATTGGCCAATATTTCTCGATAATTATGATTTATTATCATTTGAAGTAGAATTTTAGGTACCTTTTCGTACTTTTTTGTTCCTACCTGTGGCAATGTTTTCCAACACAATTCACAATTTACCACTGAGAGAGAGAGAGACTCTCAACACCGATCCCGATCCCGGCAAATATAAAACCACGCTTACCAAATATCGAGTTAACAGACAGAAGAGCTGTTATTCAAAACATTTTTTAATTTGCAAAGTTCAATTTTAAGTTAAATTGTATAAAAATTACAGAAAATTCAAAGTTTCATTAAATTAGAAACTAATTCCTTATATATTTTTAGGTAAGTTCCAGATAGAGGGCAATGTATTGATGCAGGAAGCTTAAATGTTCCTGGGGAACATACCAAACCAATTTTTCTTTTATTGTTCATTTTTTTTTAAATATTAAACGGCATATACATTAGAACTTTTGTACCGGGTTAACCTACTTTATGAGGATTTATTTCACATATATGCAAAGTAATTGACAATTGAAACCCACTGGGTTAACGAAATCCGGTTAAATGTAAACGTACTATTAAATGCAATACTAATAATTGTGTTTGTCCTTTGTTTGTTTATGGTGTTTTTACACGATATGTATTTTACATATGTGCTGTCACTTATTTCATCCATATGTAATTCCTTATGTGTGTCAAAATTAGCAGCGTACACAAAACATTTATTTTTGTGTTCAAATCGGCATATGTATTTTACATATGACATAACCTATAAACAAAAAAAACACTTTTAGTTTTTCTTAAATCAACATAATTTTTTTTATTAAACACCTACAAACGAAATAATAATTTGTAATTTTTGCCTTTTCATCCTTTTCTTTGACTTCCAATTGAAATATTTTCTTCCATCATTCAAACAGCTGATTTCCTTATGTTTCACATACGAAAATAGAGCGCGTCCTATTCGGAAAAAATACATATGTAATTGCATATCGTTTTGACACATTGAAATTTCCGTATGTTTCACATGACGAGTTCGATTTCCATATGTAAAAAAGTGACAGCACATATGTAAAATACATATCGTGTAAAAACACCATTATTTTGGCGCAAATCAAATGCTTTCTTGAATCAGATGTTTATTTGCTTAATCTTACTAAATGTTGTCTGTTTACTTTTCTCAGTATTATCGCAAAAGAGAGTAAAAAGGGCTTACTCTCTGGACTAGAACTTACTGAATAAATGTTACTGGAAAAGTAACCAGACAAACCTAATATTGGACTTCTTATACTTCTAGGAATTCTGTGTTCTTAGTGAAGTCCCTTACACTTTTCCATTCACACCCCCCATAGGTCGGTTAGGTCATGGATAGTGTTATTTCCCAAGCATTTGCAGTTTCATAGGAAATGTTCCAGCGTTTCGTTGTCTTCCTCATACGCTCTATACCAGCTGCAGTTATAGAATTAACTTGCTTGTTTACTATCCGTCATTATATGTATTGTATCCTGACCAGAGTCCAAACTTAACCAGTTTAAGCATATCCGCATGTAGGACCGTTATCTTATCTTGCATGCGAAGTGAAATTTTTGTTCTCGTCCCAGTTCCGATTTTCTAACTAGCCGGGAGCCATTTGTGTAACAACAGTTGCCAGAGGGCATTTGTGCAAGTGGTCCGACTCAAAACTTTTGATTGAGGATCTGATATCAATTGGGTATATGCTCCAGATAATTGATTCATCTTTGTTGTGAGCTTAGCGATATCCGTACTTCCTGTACCATCTTATCATCACACTCCGGCATTCTTAGATGGTTATGTTTGTCTTACTTTCGTGTTCAGACTCGGTATGTGATTTAGTTTCTAGTTTTAGCTCGCGGCTTTGCCGATATATTTAGCTATACCAAAACGTAAACAGATACATCGGATTATAAATTTTAAAAAACCTTCGAGTAGTAGCAATCTATGATCAAAGTATACGGACATGTTTAGAAAAGTACCTGCGTATAATGACTATAGGTTAATTGTATAATTGTACCGGGCGATTGTTGTAAACGATAATCTACACCAAATACAAATTTCAGCAATTTTTAATGGAGACTGGTTTTAAATCTCAAACCCCCAAAACGTGAACCGATATTGAAAACGCATGGTAGGGAGGGACATGTGTATGAATTCCTTGAAATACTGCAATTTAAAGGGCAAATTTATATGAGATTATCCCTGGAGACTATACCTAAAACGGGACCAATATTGATTACATTGTGTAGAAATTACCGAACATTTGGAGTTATCATTATTTAGGTGCTGTGTTTAATTGGGGACCGATATAGATCAGTTTCAAACTTGAAACTTTTGCATCCTTCACGCTAAATATTAAAAATACCAAACTTCCGTAGAGATCATTATATGGGGGCTAGACCTATATAGTTCGTTCTCGAACCTGATGTTCTAGTTTTTTTATCTCAATATCCTCCGAAGGTAAAATGATTACAACTGATGGCTAAATTGTCAAAGTAGTCGAAGAATTCTATAATGTGTAGGGTATAAAGTATATGGGTACCAGCCTAAAACGCTGAATAAATCGGTTAACTGTTAATATAAAAAGGGAAAATTGAGTACTTTTGGGGGCTAACCAAAAAAATTACATATATTTATAATTTTCACTGTGGAGTACAGTTATATGGGAGCTATGACTAAACCTGGACAGATATAGCTCATCTTCGAACTTAACCTGCCTGCAAACGAAAGAAAACTCTGTGCAAAATTTTGACGATTTATTACAATTCCTCTAGAGTCTGGAGTGATTACAACAGACAGGCGTGAAGAAGGGAAAATCGTCATAGAATTTTATTCTGCTCCCGAATATATCTACTTTATAGCGTCGAAAACGATTATTTCGACCCTATGCTGGAGGGTATAAAAATATTTCTTGGGCTCCGTTGGAACATAGCATATATGTATTTGCAATGAGATACAGTGTTGTATTTTTGTTTTTAGCACAACAGCGACATCTTTTGTTTATGCATCCAAACTATTTTGGTTGCATTGCTAGTACCCGGATCTTGGCAACCCTTGCATAAATTTTTGTTTGTCATATTAAAATCTTTTTTTGTTGAGTACAGAGACGACCATTACTAAAGAATTTTTATTGCTGATTGTTATTTAAAACGAAAACGCTGCAACAAACAGAACTGTCGAGTGCGTTGTTGTTTTTTTGTGCTGTTCAGAAAAAAAGAAAGGAAGAAATAAAAAAACAGTTGAAGTGAAAAAACCAATAATTATTGTAACAAAAAAAGAAATAGAGAGCACAATTCGGTTAAACACTCCTCCAATAATTTAATTACGCATTAACAAAAAAGATAAAAAAACGCAAAGTTAATTCCCTGTTGAATTGTGAAATTAGCTGTTTTTCCCTCGTCTAGAAGAACAAAAGAAGGAAGTTCTCGTCAAAGTTTTGGTGAATTTTCACAAATTACATATTTGAACAACAACAAAAACAACTGAAAAATGTTTTATAAAACCTCCATTTTCCTGCTGCTATCAACGGCCTGCTTGTTAACAGGTAATTTAATAATAATGCAATAACACCAAGTTTGTTTCTAATTCTAGAATCTGGAGACGAATTGCAAACAAAATGCTATTCGTTCGGTCTATTGCACTTGTCGTCGTTAGCAGTTCTTTGTCAGTCATCCAGCTTAGTCAGTCAGTTTTTTCTATTGCTGTTAATTATCAAATTTACCTCTTCCATCTTGTTGTGTGACGGCGGTGTTGTTGTTGAACGTCATTCGGGATTTCTAATATTTTCGCTTTGTATGCCTCTTCTTTCATATTTACTTGCTTGCAATGTAACAACAAGCAAATAGAGGTGGAAACAATTTCTTTAATTATGGAAATATATGTAACCTTAAATACCTAACAACAACAACTACAGCAACAAAGCCAATGATGATGAATCAGCTGATCGTTTGGTGTTTCTTGTGTTGAATAGAAATGGGGGAATAACCTTTAAAACGAAGCTTTTGAATTTTATTCCCCTCAGATTTTCGTTCCAAAAGGATAAAAGGGAACAAGTCAAGTTGAGGGGCTCCACTCGTATAGCTTTGAAATTTGTACTGTAAGTAGTCCTCGTTGAGCTGATTACAGTGATACTTCCCGAGGAGATATGGACGTTAAAAGTTCGGAGCATACTTTGTTTAAAATAGACGTTTTCCTACTGCCACCAAGGTAATACCATCATTATGACGTCAACGTTTCCTAAAGAGTGGAAAAAATAAAAAATTAACCCAATCCGGAGGGCTCCAATCCAGCTTTCAAAGTCATCGAAGCACGTCTATGCTACTAGTGGGCTTAACTGACTCTATAAGGAGAAACCTTTCTGAGAATAACGTTTCAATAAAAAAACCTTCGATAGGATTGACTATAAAATTTTAACAAGAAAATTAATAAATTTCTATGGCTTCAGCACAGACGCCTGTAAATTAATATATTCATATTTAACTGAAAGATATCAATGTATTTCTTTGAATTGTATTCTCGTTGATTTATTGCTTGTTAATGGCGGTGTCCGATCTTGGGCCTAATGCTTTTCATTATGTTTTCAAACGATTTATTCAAAAATATTCGTCCGTGTTGTTCTCCGTATTCATATGCAGATGATATACACTGTTATTTAAAGCATTTATAGACAATCCCGATGCCCTTATAGCATAATGTAACTGGGTTATGAACCTGCTACATGAATGGATGAATTCCAACCTGTTAATTGTTAATCCTACGAAAACACACGCTTTGGTTTATCCCATTTATGCTAACTCTAATTTGTCTCTGATTTATAATTGTCAAGTTATTAATATCGTCAGTAGCATAATTATTGATGATAATTGATGCCTATATCGACAATGTTGTCACCCACACGCATTTAACATCTAATTATGTCTCACATATTATACTGTATTGAAATTTTCTCCCGCACAACTAAAATGAATATGAAAAGAATCAAAATGTTGATTTACCGAGTGGTTCGTTATATTTATTCACTTAAAAGGCTTGACCAAGCAGCACATATAAAAAAAATAAAACCAATGAAAACCTCGCCTCTTGTGCTGAGGAACTTCTTCAACTTCATCGCTAAAATCCTTGGGACAACATACTTCCAACCCTATTAGAGTCGTCTCGGTCATACCCATTGTGAATTCCTCCGATTCGATGTCAACTGTTGACTTAGTTGGATCATACAGCTGACCAGCGAATCGGAATTGAAGGAAAGAGGGTTTTCTGATTTGCTCGGCAACATCTCAAGAATATAAATTTCCGAATATTACAATTAAAAAATATTTTACGACGGTTATATATAGAAAGAGATCCCTTGAGATGGCGCCATAACCTCTCAATTGTGTTGGTATGCTGTCCCAATTCAGGATCAACAAAATTTTTTTTCATTTATTTCAATTTTAACATGTATAACGAAGCCTTTAGGCCAATAAATGTAATACATTATGCAAAACAGTATGATTTAACTACTCAAACCAATTTAGACAAAAGTGTGTTTAGCCCCCCTCCGTCAAATTATCATAAGCCTAAAAAAATAATATTAATAATTACTTTTCATTTATCTCCAAAGACTCTCCTTCCAATAATCTGACACTGTAACAGATCCAGGCCGAATGTACTTTTTAATAATTGGAATAAGTGTGTCTCGACCTATTTCCTTCACAGGAACAATAAACTGCCCTCTTACTGTCCCTCTTTACCCCACTAAATATCCATTGTCCTTCCACAATCTAAGATTTCTCTATTTCGACGGTTACTCAAGGGATCCCTTGAGGTGTGCGCCATAACCCCTAAATTGTGTTGGTATGTTGTCCCAATTCAGGATCAACAAAACAAACTTTTCAATCATCTCTCAAGACTGACTTTCCAATAGTGCGAAACTATAACAGATCCAGGCTGAATATACCTTTTAATAATTTGATAATGTTACTGTGTAATCATACGGCCTTAACTGCAACGTATGTCCCTTCGGACATTTCAAAATACCAAACGGATGGGCACCAATTTGCTAATTTTGTTGTTCTCCTCCTACCAATATGTAATATAGATTTAATTATCGGAGTTAGGCCCCATTATTATGTAATTTTATTTTCATTTATCAATCTCATTAAATGTAATTTGTATTTCGAGTTCTCATTGAGACGAACTCTTCCTCCCCAAAAATTATCAATATTGATCCTTTTTTTAGAGTAGCAACAGCAACTGATAATAGCTCCCATATGTCGCCACATTAGGGCTTTTTGACCTATTTTTTCTATCGAAATGACTTTAATTTGGTATTTTGGGTTCTCATTGGGTTACAAATCTTCAATATTGGTCCATTTATTAGGGTAGTCCCCATATAACTGTACCATCCAAATTATAATAATTTGAGGAGTTTGAGAGCCAGCAAATTTGTATTTTGGATTCACATTAGATGGAAAATTCCCTACAGAAAATAAATGCCCATATTTCTGGACCTGGCATAAAAATACCCTAATTCTGGCATATCCTGGCATAAAAATACCCTAACATGAGATGCACATTCAAAATACCTACAATCGATCGGTGCTACAGATTGTAGGTATTTTGAATGTGCATCTCATGTTGGTAGTGCGTATAAACATTATAAAAAATACTTTTTAGACTCAGTGACCCAGCTGACGCTTTATTAATTATCAAATTTTTGAAATGGCGGAAGTTTCTAATGTTGTTAGTTTCCATTTAACCTAGCTTTTACTTTTATTTTAAAAATCATCTAGTTTTTTGTCACGTTTTACATTTTGGGTTTTGCATAAAAAATTGAATATGAAATCTAAATTGTAATATTTTGTTGGATATTGCCCGATTTTTTTAATAACAAAAAATTGCCAACAAGACCAATACCAATGCTGTTTTTTTTACAGCCCCCAGATTGTTGTGATTATTATTCGCTTCTTTCTATTTGTGTTTGTTTTTTCTTTTGACCAAATTATTTTTGTTGTTCATTTCTATTTGTTGTTGCATTTTTTTTCTCCTCCAAATAATCAACAAAGTGTGTTATTCGTCTCAACTCTTCTAAACACTTCTCCGACAAACAATAACAAATAAAATAAGAAGAAGAATATAAAAAATAAATGAAATAAAAAACAAACACACATATAAACTATTGATGTTTGCAAAATAATGACAAAAAATTAATAAAACGACAACAACAACAATATTTCCAGTTATTTATTTATATAATTTTTGCATGTTTGTCATAATAATTTCTGTGTTATTGTTTTTATACAAAATCAAAAAAAAAAATGTTTGTTTTTTCTACAGGTCAATTAGTGGGGAATACTTTCTCGTTCAGAGTTGTTTCTGTTTCAACTAAAAAAACAAAAATTTTTAACTCGATTGTATGCATTTTGAGAATTAAATTTTTATACTCAATAATAAAGAGGAAGGGTATACATTTTGTATACCAATTTCAACACCTAACTATATTGGCTTTTTGATTGTCATTGCCTAGAAGTGGCAATGCATGGACAAGAACTTAACCCTTTACCACACTGTGGTACAGGGTATTATATATATATGTTTGAGGAGTTTGTAACTGGCAAAAGGAAACGTGATTCTATGCATATTCTCATGGTTCCTTTTGAGACCTGACAGAGGCAATGAGCCACTAGTCCAGGATTCCCTACTAGGAAACTCTATTCTGATGTCATTAAAATCTCTATGAGAGGGGGCATAATGTGAGTACTCCTCCTCATATAACTGTGCCCTTTAAATTGTAATATTTTGGGGATGTCCCATCCTACCTTGCGTCGTCAATATCGGTCCACTTTTTGGGGCTTTTACGAAAAATCTCCATTAAAAATAGCTGAGATTGGACGTTCCCTATATTTTTATTTCAAGTACCTGTCAATTCATTTATGGTGGAGGGCCAAAGTCAAAACATTTTAACTTTTTTTTTTAATTTATCTTAAAGGAAGTTAATAAAAACTTTCCATTTTACAAAATATTGGAAATAAATTTGGAATAATGATTTACTTTGCACTCTTTTTCAGAGCTGTTGATATTATTTAGCCTTCGCGTGGAATGTAATATATTATATATATTTATATATATTAAGACCATAAATGAAACAATTATAACTGTGATTATATGTACATATGTATTTCAGTACAACATCAATAAAAAAAATAAACATGTACTACTGATGCCATTTAAAACAAACTTTTGTCTGCCCATGTATTCTGTTGGCTTATCAGTCATCTTGCTCCATGTTCCCAATGTGTGTGTAATTGTTGGTTTTATTACTCGATGTGTGTGGAGAAATCAAAAAGAATTAAAAATTATTATTCATTAAATGCAAACAAAAAACTATGGAAAGTTTTTTATATACAAAAGAGAGCGCGGAGCGGGGAAACAAACGTCATTGGCCAGAACTCAAAACAAAGATTTGAATTACATAAAAAACAATATGAGTGATAATATTGATTGGAACACTCCACTATGGTATGGCAGTTTGCAACAAATGATGGCGATGTGTTTTCGGCATTT